TCACCACACCAATGGAGTCAGTTTTCCTTATCTTGTTGCAGTATACTCCTTGCCCCCAGCCCTACCTACCATAACCATCCAGACTTACTAGCAATCTAAGCAGCCTTGCAGCTGTCACAGACAACAAGCAGTCAACACCATCCCACCACTACAGAACTCCTCCAGTGTCAGTGACAATACAGCTTGTGTCAAAGCAGCAGGGCTGATCCTGTTGACTGGGGCTGCGGCGGTGGAAAAGACAAGACCTGCAGCTGGAGTCAAAGTCAGAATCAATTGAGAAATTATGCAGGAACATTCAAGGCGCTGCATGTGGGATGAAAGCCGGCTTATGTTTAATGAATCTAAGAAATTATTCAGTAATAGTTCATGCTCTGCAATGGGATCCCTATAATTAATGTAAGCAGCATCCACTCGAGCCAATACAAATTAGGTACTGGTCGTTCAAATTAATTCTTTGCCTTTGGGCACCTTTAGTTACACAACCAAGTAAAAACTTTTAACAGAGAGAAGAGTAAGTCCATCTTTCTCAACAGCCACAAGCTAGTCAGCCCAAGTTACAGACCTGTAGTTCAGTACAGTACAGATATAGAGCGCAGTCATTGTAGCAGGCTTTCATGGTATCTTGCTTCTCTTCTTCCCTGAAACCCGTGATCAGCTTTTCCTTACTCTCAGAAACCCTCAATACTTATGTGAGGACAATAAAATCTACTACAGACAGATGTGATTTAATGCTGTTCAGCACAGTGTAGAGGAATACTGCTTCAGGAAGCATGAGGTACGTGTCTGAAGCACTGATGATATGTCTGGACAGATTGGTCTCACAGATGTATTGAAGACTTTCAAGAAAGAGCAGAATAACTGCTCAGAGAACTGCTGCAGAGGGAAGGCCAAAAGTACTGGTGTTGTCAGGCTCTTCAGACAGCCTTCACCTAGGACTTCAGAGCTGTGGTCAAAGCAGGGGTATGCACTTTTAGATTCAAACACCTTTGAACTCTGAGCAAGTCTGGGGGCCAGACTAAGTTCTGGGAAGATGCCTTAGCCAGGAGACAAGTTTTGACCTATGGGAATTGCTGTCTAACAAAAGAAGTTTGTTGGCCAGATGAGTACCTTACATAATGACAGATTCTTAAGCCCATCTGTTTCTTTAGCCTGGTTTATTCATCTGGATGTCCTGAAATGTATTAGTCATTGTAGACATGAAGTAACACATGGAACACCAGAGGTAGGGTTGTCTCAAAGTCAAAAGCTCCAAAATATGCTGAGATCAAGACATTATTTCCACTTATTTCATATTTAGTTCCTATCAACTGTTGCTAAAGCCTACCTACACTAGAATGAAACATCAGTAATGATCATTTTCCTTCTTAGAATTTCTATTGAGTGCAAAAACTGGTTTGCTGTAAGGACTTCACAACTAATGGCACCTTGAAGAAACAAAGAGGTTATCTATCAAACTTCCTGCAATGATTCTGCCCTCTGAACAGTACTCACTAAAACCATTTTTGGTCAGCTGAAAGGAGGTTAGGGAACCTGCTGCTGGTTACTTCCTTGATGCTGTCAGTGTCAAAATATGCCTAACCAGAAAAAAAGGAAAGATAGAAAGGGTTCAGACAGCTCAGCACTTCAGTGGTCAAACTGCAGGCACTTCAGACTGCTGCTCCACACAGGCATCCACTGATTCAGACCTTGTGCTTACACCCTGCTTAGCTATCCCATCCCGGTAACTCCACAAGTTGAGGTGGGAAAACAAAATAATATAAAAATTAGTGAAAAGCTTTGAAAGAGGTCACATGATTCTTTCTGTCTGATCAGCTCTAACAGCATTGTCATGTTGGCTGGAGGAATCCAGTAGGACTTTGTCGTTGCTTTTGTACTTTAAAAGAAATTGATATGCAAAAAACAACCCCCAAAACAAAGCAGGTCGGGACAGGATTCCATCCTCTAGGAGAAAAGGGTGGTAAAGTTAAATGTGAGAAAGTTTTCACTGAAAACCCCAAACCAGAACAGATTAATTTCAGCTCTTGGAACTTAGACAGTTGCATTGATAAGCTCTTCTCTGTTGGAAAGCGTTTCAAGAGAAAACATTTGGCCAGATCCCAAAGGATTTTCCAGCTCTCCTCTCTCCCTTCGTTCCCAGCTATTCTACTGGCTGTTTTACTTATGCTACTCTTTTTCCATATTATCTATTTCTATGAGAAATTCCTCTAATTTCATGGGGAGTGGTGGCTTCTTTGTTCTACTTCCCAGAATCTTCAGAGGCAAGTGGAAATTCAATTTCTTAACTGACATGATATGTCTATTGCTTCTCCATGATTAAGAGAAAACACAAGTATCATCAGAGACCCAGACATCCATCCGTTTCTAAGCATTACTCTCCAGAAATCTCTTCAGTAGTCATCGCATGCACTCTCAGAACGAGGACCAGAAAAGCTCCTCTGTAAAACCACTGGAGCCAGCAAGCTGCCTGCCTGGCCCATTGGTTATTTCATCCTCAGTTACACTGAGGTGTAACTCTTTGAATGCAAAACTGCCCTTGTTTGGTTCAATACTGGCAGTCCCAAATGCTGCCACTGAAATCAACTTTCCTTCTCAGAGGGAGATCAAGTGCTTCCTGAAGAACCAAAATAGCCATGCGCCTCATCTCTGCTCTGGAGAAGTTTCCAACTTGTTTAGTTTTGACAGGAGCCTTTCATGGGTTTGAGAGACTGCCCAAGAAACTAGAGAGCTCTCTTCTTTCCGTTGTCATAAAATACTTTTCTCTGAGCTAATCAGCATTTCGTCTCTAACTGGCTAACCTCAGTTTAGTGATCCTGGTGCCCAGCTACATGCACATTGGGATGTCAAACACGGTGTTCTCTGCCCACACCTATGCTTGTAAACAACTGTGCCAGGCCCAGGACGAAGCACAACCCAGACTCTGCTTCTATTAATTTTTTAGCTGCTGTCATGTAGTTACCATGACATCGTGCAAAAGAGATGCGTTGTAACTTGTCCAAAATACCTCAGATAGAGGATATTTATTTGCTGTGGAGATCTGTTTAAAAAATATTGCCTCATATTTTCAGTACAACAGTCCTGTTGGGAAACCACATCTCTGCATGGGAAAGGAGAAAAACAGAGTAGCTATGACAGGAACGTCACAACCTTCACTTCTGATTCCATGTAAAAGAATATCTGTGGAATCCCAACAGACAAGATAATTACTTTTCACTACATTGTTCATTTGCATAAGAAGATCAAATCCTTACAGGGAAGCAGGCAGTCTATTATGGCCCCTACAGTATACACTTCATTTGAGATACACAATTGCTTTTTGTTTCAAAGGTTACAACATATAAGAAAATACATTTACAGGAGAAACATAGGGAAATGGAATGGACCACAATATCCATTACTGAAATATGAATTCTAATTCTTCTTCTGAATGTTGAACTTCATCTATAATTGCACACAATGCTTCAAGAGCTGGGATCATTTCTAGTAATGTAACAGTGAAATTACTGAAAAATTGTAACAAAAAACCAACTCCACCCTTAACAACCAGACCCTTCCTAAAGTAAGGCTGCAATAGTGATACAGAAACACACTGAGCACTAAAAATGGGATTTTTTTTGTTAAAAAAGTTTGTACAAAGCATGTGCCAGCTCTGAGCCCCCACCATGCACTCTGATGGCCCAGAACTCTGCATCTGAGATTGTCCAAATCCGTTCTGCTCAACATACGCCTACATGCAATCCATCTACTATTGCCATGTTAGTGCTCATTCTCAACACTGCTGTATCTGTACATATTTTTACTATAGATTCTGATATCAACAGAAAATCTGCAATGTAGATACAGGCACCTCGCAAGAAATAGCCAGATGTTAAAACAGGAGATAATAAGTAGGAGAGACAGAATGGCTTTGGCAGAAACTGCTGTAGGGAAGGGAAGGGTGGTTCCAGGAACTGTGAGTATAAATTTTGATTAGGGCTGGGCTGGTATTTCCCACTTCAAATGCCTCCCTTTCTCTTTAATGAGGAAATAGGATTTTCAGTTTTGCCCCACTGAATGAGTGATTAAATGGAAACAAGGACTTGCTTTCATAGGTAAGCCAATCCAAATGTCACCTATGTATGCCAACACCGGGAACAGTGACATTTTATACAAATACATGAACTTGCTGCAAAGCAATTATATTTAAACTGTAATAGAATGTAACAGTCAAAGAAAACACAGCACTTATTTCTGCAAATGTTTCTTTCCAACAGTGAAAAAGAAATTATTCTTTTCTGAGCAGCAACAGTGTTCAGGGTCAATTTTCACTCCTTGAAAATGCACTGCAGTCTGAAAACACGAAGTAAGCAAAGAACAGAAGAGGAGGACCTGAAAAACCAAGGTCAGCAACAGAAAAGGCTTTGAATTTACACTAAGAGCTGCACAGATGATTCACAGCCACTGCAGTTTTCCTTCACTTACAGTGCAAGCAAGACTACGTGTGCTGCTTTATCAGTAGAAATTTGCACTAGGCCCTGTATGGATCACAGATGTAGGTGCGAACAAAGAGGAAGGAACCTACAGTAGAACACAGCCAATGTGAGCAGTCACCAAAGAGAGGAAGAAGGAAAAGGGAGCAGACCAAGATTATGTTGGAGAATGGATATGAGAATTAGGAATAACCAGTTTTATAGACAGAACAACTTAAGAACAGCATCACAAAGTTCACCTTTATCCATCTGCAAAGTCTTTAAAGTATGAGGATTCTTTTTGCTCCAGTCGTGTGAACTACAAGCTTGGCTGAATCTGATTATTTTCTACAGGCTGCACTGTAATTGTTCATTTTGTTGGTACAATTGGACTGCTTCTTCGAGATAACAAAGAGACAGTTATTGAGTAAAATGGGCTTTGAAACATGGAGATAACGATCAAGAGCTGAAGTTCAGTAATAGATTTATGCACTTTCATTCATCTTATAAAACCCATGCTTTCCAAGATCAGACAAAATATATTAGCTATGGATGCACACCAAAAAAGTATTTAATCTTCATGAAAGAGATACAAAGATAAAACTAGTGAGCAATTCAGTTAAAGGATGGGGCAAAAGGTAAAAATGACTCCAGTCATTACGGCCGCATGCCTGTTCCCTGCTACAACCAACTCTACAATCACCATGCTTGAGGGGTCCTCTCAGATTTACATACCCATTCCCCCTCCTCAGACACACTCATCTGTACCTCTGGGGTTCCTGCAGATGTTTCATCTGACATTGCAAATCTTCCAGTGGGCACCACACAGACTCCCCAGGCAAGCTGTTCTGCTACTTGTAGACAAAATTGGAAGTTTGCCCTTTGCGTCTTTCTTCCTTGAACTCAAGTCTATTACTCACAAAGGAAGATAGAATAGCTTGAAAATTCTTACTCCCTCAGAACTGGGTCTGGTTGGCTTGGAGTTAACGTTCTCCACACGAGTGTTCTGAGCTGTAGCAAGAACAGTGTTGATATCACACCAATGGTTTGGCTGCTGCTGCACAGCACTGGGCCATTATTAAGACTCTCTTCAGTACCCCAAAAGCCAGCAGGCCAGGGATAGTCAAGAGGTGAGGAGAAGACATTGTCAGAGCAGCTGGCCTAAACCAACCAAAGAAATATTCCATACCATGGCTCAGCATTGAAAGTGGGAAGAGGAAAGGAGGAGAGCTCTGTTATGAAAACATCTGCGCTCCCAAATAACTGCTATGTGCAATGAAGTCCTGTGTTACAAGATTTTTCCAAACATCTTTTGGTGACAGGTCATAGAGAATAACTATTTTCCCTCTCTTTACTTCCACATGGCTTTTCCTTGTTTTTCTTTGAAAAAAAAAAAAAAAATTATTGTATTTCTCTTTCTTTCCCCCTTAATTACATTATCCTTATCTCAACCTATGAACCTTTTGTATTTCATCATATTTTCTCCCCTTTTCCTTTGAGGAGCTGGAATGAGAGAGGCTGCCCATCAATCTGAAACCACCTCTGTCCTCTGTGGCATCCACTTTGGGCTCAAGGAATTAAATATAAGAATGATAACGCAGAGAAGTAAAGGGCAAAACACAGACTGGACATTGACTAAGTAACAGAGAAGAATTTATGATGTAATAGCTGTGAAGAATATGTGAGGTAGTAATGTGGTAATGGGATGAGGGGTGGAGTATGTGTAAATTGTCCACATTACCAGGTTGATTTTGGTGTGGAGAGTTCTTTTTGTTGATGAAACCAACATGCTCTTATTACTAGGTCTCCATGTGTTTCTGTTTCTTCCTAGGATTAAAAAATCAGTTAAGAATACCACCAGGTATCTGCCCGAAGGCAGTGTGGTGATGGGTGAGAGAATGTGGACAGGTGCCTGTCATGCTTGTGATGGTTTTGAATTTCATCTCTGAAGTGCAGAATCATAAAAAAAACCAATGGAATATTTGAATGAAAATACACCCTGAGCTCTAGAGCACTACAAAAACAGAAGAGACAGAAATTGCATGTTTCGTTCTCTGCTGGATCCTGTTGATGTTGCAGGAACCCATCAGAAGTAGAAAGCTGCTGTATAGAGTCCAACATGACGAGATGAGGAAGGCACTGAAGGAGAAGGCAAGTTGAACATATTTGCAGAGGTAAAAGACATCCAACTGGACCTAAAAATTGCCAAAAGAAGAAAGTGGACACTACTCTACAATGGGTCATGGATTGTGCCAAATACCCTGTGGGAGTGGCTACAGCAATGGAAGCAGAACAGTAGTGGTGCAGAGATGAACTCATCTGGGCTGTTGCACTGTGATAAGACATACAAGACATTGCTGTCCAAGCAGAAAACACTGTTGTAAAAGTACAGCACACAGATGCTCACATACTCAAGAAACGAACCTCTGAAGAATACCAGAAAAATAAGCAGGTAGACTGGGTTTCAAAAATTGAAGTGGCTCTCCTTGGACTAGGAGCTGCCCGTGGCTTGATAGGTCCATGAAGTATCAGGGTATCTGTGGAGAGATGCCACACACAGATGGGCTCTTGATTGAGGGATGGACCTGCCCATCAAGGCTACCACAAAGGTCACCCAGCAGTGTGGAACGTGCTGCAATCAAGCAAGCTGTGTGATTAAAGTCCCTCTGGAACAGTAAGCTGTGGAAAGGATTCCAATAAGGTGAGGCCTAGTGAAATGACCATGTTGGACCAATACCACAAACTTGTCAGGGTAAGCACTACATACTCACAATGGTAGAAGCAACTACCAGGTGGTCAGAAACATATCTGATAAATCATGCCACTGTCCAACACATCATCTTGGGCCTAGGAAGGCAAGTCCTGTGATGTCATGGTATCTCTGAGAGAATCGAGTCACTTCTGAAATATCCTCATAACCTCCTGGGCCAAGAGACACAATAGAGACTGAGTGCTTCACATCACCCATCACCCGCTAGGTGAGGACATGGTTAGAGTGAAGCATGGAGTTCTGCTGGCCAGCAGTACCCCTTTGCCACTCATTCCTGAAATTAGCAATTTCAAATCATACCTCCTTGGAGGTCTGTACCTCCAGAAACAGACTATATGAAAACACGTATATACATTTTACACACTTCTGTTCTGACACTAAAAAAGAGTTGAGGAGTACAGTACTCCCACTGTGTGTAAACTGGAGGATGCTCCCCATTTCAGACAATTATACAGCCACAGGAACTGCTTCTTGGTCTGTTAACAGCATTTTTAAAAGAAAATTACACAAGTAATTCTGGTTCATTGTTAGTTGAATGACTAAAAGCCTGATGTAAACAACAATACTTGTGGAATAAAGAAGTGCTCAAGTATAGGCGACATCAGATTCAGGTCTCTCGCTAGTATTCCACTATTCCACTCACATTTAACCTCTAAAAGGGAAGTTACTCACAGTGGCCTTTTTTTTTTTTTTTTTTTTAACTGATTATCACCACTAAATTCTATATATACAAAACAGTCCAGAAGGCTACAGCATACAGTCACTCATCTCAGAGCAGGAATCTTAAATATAAAAAAATATCCAGCAGCTGCTGAGCTTCTAGGAATGGCCATACTGAATCAACACTGATTCCTGTAGTATGGAAAGTGGTGTGGTTAGCTAAATAAACGTTGATGTAACGAAAATGACACCCTAATAAATGCCTCTTTTGGCTACGTTATGAAGTTAATTAGTTGCAATGATGCTGCATTAATATGTCAGCCTCTGTTGAAGCTCTCAAATCTTCTCCTTCTATCTAGTCTTTTATCAATGCTTTTTATCAATCCCAAGAATCTGAACATGCTTCATGCCAGATCTCTAAGTACACGAACAGGCTCTGCTACCTCTTCCTTTGCCAAGGGTTTCATTGCCTGTACTTAAAGCCAGCTCTGGTAGAGTACAGCCAAGTAATTGGGTACCGGACTACCATGAGAAGAGCTGTGTGGAAAAGCTCTGGAAAGCTTTGCCAAAGGCTTTGACTGGGAACTGCATCACCCTTGGTCCTCCTCTAAGCTATGTTGCAAGTATGCCCATGCCCACCAAGTAACTCCCTGATCCTTACCTGCTAGCTTGCCCTTGGTCTTGCCTCAGAGCTTGCCTTTTCATGACTTGCCTTTCAGACTTGTCAATTTGGTCTGCTGGTAGAACTTCATTACCATTAGCTCATCAACCCTGCTCCTGATTATTGCAGGACTGCACCTCCTTTAGAACTACAGACCTGTTTCTGATTAATTCTCACTTGTCTTTCAAAATCTGCATCAGCCATTGGTGAGCATGAATTGTAGCTAAGATGAAGACTGCACAGAACTTTGCATCTTCTGCATATTACATAATTGCCTATTCCACTATGATCTCATTTAAGTCCTGAGCAATCAAGTGCACAACAAAGAAAATAATGAACAAAGAACCATCAACAAGGCAGAGACAAGCAGAAGAATTTACAATGCAGTAGTCTCCCTTCTGAAGAGGCACATCACAACTGATGAAGCTACACACGCCAGCCATGAATATTCAGACTCTTGAGTCAATTCTCATTTACAAATACTGTCTGAGGCCATTAATTTTCTAGGATTACTCCCCAGAATGGCTGGCATCCATTACTCATATTTCTATCTCTAGTTTGCCTCACTGTATCTATACTGTGCAAATAACATTTTTAAATGAAAGGAAACAATATAATTAAAACCAGAAGCAAGAAATGAAAGCAGGTACAATTAAAACAGAGAGAATTATCCTACATCTAAAAGACAATCAATCTTGATTCAGAAAAGCATCAGGCTTTAAGAAAGCAAGATTTCCCCATAGCTTTTTGGTTCAATAGTACGATAAGTACTATCCAGAAGATCTGAATGGATTAATAACCTTTCTGGTTTATAAGGCAAAACTCTTAACAACTACCAATGATTTATAGTCATGTGTAGATTCATTGATTTTTGCTGGATCCAAAGTTCACAGTTTCTTGAATACAGTGAAAAGACAACTTAAAAAATTGTGTAAAAAGCAATAACAAAGCTCCCCTAGAATCAAAGGTAAAAATATATATATATATATTTACTGAACTAGTGAATGACACCAGTTTGCTCAGAGACATGATTTAGCGGAGGGTTGTTAGGGTATTATGGTTTGGTCATGGTTGAACTCGATGATCTTTAAGGTCTTTTCCAACCTGAACAATTCTATGATTCTATGACATACATGAATTAAGGGTTTTCTAGATTAAAAAAAAAAATTAAACAGTGTATCAAGAAGAAATGCTCTACCCTGCTTAGCAACAAGCACTCTGTTGATAATCAAAAATAAGACATAGAAAATAAATATATTCTTAACATATATGTTCTAGTTTCATAACTTAGTTACCTAAACTAACTTTGGGGGAATAGAGGTTACTTGTGTGGCCTTAATATTAAGCTCTGTATGTAAACGCACACTATTTGACCTACCATGAATAATGGCTTGCTTACCAAAACATATTAAACCATTTCTGATTAAATGCAGTGCTCACCAAATATCCTTCTCAAATTCTCCTTTGTACATGAGTGTGGAAAGAGAATCCTCCTTATTGAATGACTCAATGAAATCTCAATTTGCCATTCTCAGTTGCTCTCACGGCAATCATTTTACCTCCTTTTAGACATACAGGCAACCCAAAACATAAAAGACAAAGGCAATTTCTGAAAAACACAGTTATTACGTCATACAAGAAGCAGCATAAAAAAAAAAGATTGTTGTGCTTTTGTAAAGCAAAGTTTTTAGACAAAATAATTTTCTCCTGATTGTGTATCTAAAAAAGTCATAAAGAAAGACTTCAGAAAGCAAAACCACAGTTTTCTTAAATTAAAGACAGTCAGCCTCATTGTATACATAAATTCTTATATAGAAAACATATAGGGTTACACAATAACCACTTGTTGGTGATTTCTGCACAAATACAGTTCACTCTGGAGTTTATAACATACCATGTGCACCGCATCCCTTGGACAATACTTACACTTTCATAAACTTTTCAATAACAAGACAGAGTTTAGCAAGTTCTGGTTTCTGTTCATCAATGAAACAAAATACAAATGCACTGGTACTGCAAAGCCCCTTTTTCACATTAAAAAGTTTCTTAAAAAGATAACATAAATCAATGAAACCGTTGTCCTCTTCCATGTTTGCTCTTGAGATGACCAGCAGAGCGCCTGAGAGCTTTCCTCTCTTGACGATGTTGTTTCTCAGCTTCCTGCTGTTTCTTCTGGTGCTCAGACTAGAATGTTAAAAGATAAAAAAAAAATAAATAAATAAACAACAAACCCTCAAGTTCTTGTAAAATTATGAACCACATCATTGTTCAAATATTTACATATCAAGTCAGAAATCCCCTAGGGAAATCTGGAAACGTTCCCAGAAATGGTCCCACATTATCTTATCCTAAATTACTTAATTTTACTGAAACAAACAGGTTTTATAAAATGTGGTCTTAGAATTTCATGAGTGTTTGCTATGCTGTAGATAATTCTAGAATCATTTTAAACATGACAATAAACAAAAATCTCTGCACCTATGAATGTTTTTCCTCTACATCAAAATTGCACCAAAAGGAGTTAACTTGCATAATATACAGAGGGAAATGCTCTTATGGCCATAAATGTCTATTTTATTGGGAAGCCTGAGTGCTTGTCTTGAAAATAAGCATGAACTGGAACTAGCAGACTTGAACTATCCATGCTCAGGCAAGTGTCCATGTTATAAAATTCTTCAGCAATTAGAGTGATTTCAACAGCAGCACAGGTTAACTGCATTAACAGTGCTAGAGTTACGGTAACACAAACAGCTGCATCCCCACGGCATCAATAATTCTGTAATTAACAACACTTCTATAATTCTGTAATTAACAACACATCAGCCCATTTTTCCCTGAACCCCCCGTTAAAAAAAAAAAAAATCCTATGTCCAATAGTACTGTAAATACTTGAGTAATTTAGAATATGCTTTTAATATTAATTTGCAGTGATATAGCACACTGAAATTGAAAAAACAAAACAGAACAGAACTTCACATTGTAGGAACCAACTAAAATCCCCTGAAAACTAAACTGCAAAATATCAATGGCAAAATTTCATTGTTGAATCTGTCAGGGGCTGCTGAACATCTGTGGGCTTGACTACAGCACAACAGCCCCAATCTCACTGACTTACAAGGTCAAATGACATCAGTCTTGTGGAAGCACAACTCTCTTTCCTGCTAAACTTTTCTACTTACTCCTACATACACTTGCAAGTTAAGGTCGGGGCATCACAAACCAGAAACTGATGATCAGAGTAATACAGAATTCTCTTTTGGCTTCTCTTTATCACAAAATCATAGAATTGCTCAGATCTAAAAAGGAGCACCAAAACAAAGCACACTGCAAGGACTTCTTCCTAGCTCTCTCTATCTATTCCCCAACACTTAATGTAGATAATTTTTTTCTTTTAATTAGACTTTTAAAATCTTTTAAATGCAAATGAGCACAACTTCTGTATTTCACTAAAGCTACATCAGTTAACAGTTGATACACATTATCAGCAATGAATTAAAAAACTCAAAGCTATAGCATATCTGATGTAATTCAAAGTTTATTGTTCACCAACAATTGCAAGAAATGATGTGACTCAGCCCTTTCTAATTTAAAGTGACTATGAAAAAAACTGTGCTTTAGAAGCCCTGAAAAGCCCTTTTACATAGCTGCAAGACACTGACAGTTACAGCAGTTGGTAAAATGGTTATCCTGCAGAGGAATCTGTGGCTTATTTAGCCATCAACAGACTTTAAATTCCAGAAATACAAGAATAGAAAGCAGATGAACAGTAAATGAACAAGTAAAGGAAGTAATGTAGACATATTTCAAAACATTTGGCTTTCTAAAAATTTATTCAGGCATAGATCAGTTCGATCTTTTTTTTGTGTGACAGTAGTTTTACTGATGAGAAGAATATTTGACCGCTACTAAGAAATATATTTGGAAAGAAAAAAACCTTACTTGAGGAAAAACACTTTTAACTGAAGTACATTTTATCAGCTGAAAAATTATCAATTAATATGGAATGCAAATCTTCAGCTTTCCTAATGTGTCTTCAGTTCTAGCAAAACCTAAGTAGCAGCAGTAGCAGACACACACATTCAATTATAACGACACTATTAAATAATCAGCTGTCTGTGACCTACAAAATTCCCAAAGATGGGAAATAACCCTTTAGGAAAGGTAGATGGGCAGCAGTCAACCACACACTTCAAATGGAATTTGGCAAACACAAGATCAGAGCTCATTCTCATGATCTGCATCACCCAAGTTCAATGGCAAAAGTGGATGGGAGCTCTGTTTCAATCATGCTGTGACCCAGCAGCATTATCAGTCAGGAGAAAGCCTGTCACCTACAGCATCCCAATTGTGCCAGGACCTGCAAACCAAAATCTGATTAGTCCTGGCACTGATGTCAGCAAAGGTCACCAGCTTTTGATGACATATCTCTGCAAATAAACTACTAAAACATGGAAGCCAGTATTTTTCACTGGAACGTAAGATTTTATGAGTGCTTCCTGGGTTATAAGGGTACACACAGAGTACTACTGGAGGCTTTCGTTCTCTTGGCAAGAAGCAAAAGCATTGGCAGCACATGAAGAAATGAAGAGGGACATGTGTTTGACCGTTTTAAAGTTTCTGTTCCTTCATGCTAAACATAAAGATACCTTCTGCATCTCTTAAATGTACACATATATATCTATGTATATCTCACCTTCTTTAATTTGAACGTAGCCTGTTTGCTGCCCACTGTCGTATCAGATACATTGAGAGTGCCAAGCTTTTCTTCAAGCTTTAAACGATCTCCGAGAGTTTTCCTGCAGAGAACAATTAACATTAGTCTCTATTCTTGCCGTCTTCTTACCACGAGTAAGAATGCAGTCAATATGAATCTTAGTTTCCCTGAAACCCTTCAACCCTTCAATGCCATGTGTCTAAAAATTAAATCACCAACAAACAGAGAAGCAATACAAGTTTCAATTACTCCCTCCAGATACTGCTTACATAAATTTAAAAAATTTTTCTACTGAAAAGCTCATTGTCTTTTCTTCTAAAAAAGCATCAGGCCTCCAGCTGAGAAAGAGACCACACCCCACTATTGCTATACTTTTCCAAGACGTTTTAGAAGAAGTCAGGTATATTTAGCTGCAGTAACAGATAAAAGCACACACACAAAAATACTTAGGCAAGACAGATCCAGTTTAGCTGGTATCTTAGAATTCCTAACTTAAGAAACACTTCAGAAGCAAGGAAATAATCTTGACTATATGTTAGAATTAATCAGAGAAAGAATCATCACTTCACCATCAACAGCTAAATAGTCCAATTAGAAATGACTATTCAGACACTGTGTCCCACAACAGTATAACTGAAATAGCTTTGCAAGTAAGAGAAAACCACAGACAAGTGGGTCTGAGAACTGAAGAGAGAACCTGACCCCAGAGCAGAGTGCCACACACTTCCCCTGCACAGTGCTCATCAGTCAATGGTTGGGAGCTATCTGCTCTCAGGCACCAACCTCCAACATTTCTAAGAAATATTTTTGTCCAACTCTTCAGCGTTGTTCTTTTTCTGAAGCGGAAGGTGGAAAATAAATCATTGTAAAAATACACACGAGTAGCAGCCATCAAAGTCAATGGATTTTCTCTGGATGAAAGACTCGCACAGTGTGATCTACGCACGGAGGCTCTGAAGTCTGCAGAATTTTGGTTAATGAGCCATTTATGTAACAGTCTCTTCAGATTAACAGTGAAAAATTACTCTCGAGAATTACTTTATTTCTCATGACTAGGTACTTTGATTGTATGACTTTTTCTGTAGTATATTTTTCATTGCCTACATGTAAAAACTTGTTCCGTCTGTGCAAATCAGGAAGACAAGCTAAGCCTTAGAGCTAACTATGGCAGAAGATCAGTCACTGACATTGTGGTGGGATTTCTACATCCAAGCGAAGTTCCATTTTTCTCCCCTTTGAAAGTGAGTTGGAGAAATATGGCTTCTACCCAGCAATTATTTGGCATGACTGCCCAGACACTGCTTCAGTCAGGAGAAAAACTAAAAGGAGGAAAAGGCTTTAAGTTCGCAATTTTACTGAGTAAGCACAGATATGGCTGTATTTATCTGAAAATGCATGGATCCCAAGTGATAGTGAATCACACACGCTGATACATGCAAGCTTAGCACTGCTAGGATCTCTTTAAAATCATCCTCAACAAATAGATTCAATTGATACATTAAGTGTTATCAAAAGCAATCTCCTCTGCCCTATGGTTAAATGAAAACTGACTAGGTGCTTCTTTTCCTCTTTACAGAACAATAGAGAAGAGTCTCTCAGGACTTTTCCTGTTGCACTTAAGTAATGCTTAGGAAAGCCAGCTATGTTTGTTGGCTTCTGTTGACTTTCTTGCACTGATCTATACTTGACTGAGTAGGATTACTTCAGGTTTTCATTTTTGTGGGCTCCAACTTCAATGATAAACATTTTGAAGGGATATCAAGAAAATCAAAAGAGCTCTTCAGACCCTGATTAAAAAAAAAACCTCTCTCCTTTTATGTATTGCTTTTAAGTTGCTGTGCAAGGAAATTATACGTTAAGTAAACAAAGAAAAATTTTGCATCTTTACTAATATGTTCAGCAGGTTTTCATATGTAAGCATAAGAACACAAAAGGGGGAAGAGAAATGTAGACAGATTTGAGACAAGGCATTTGTTATGATCGCAAATAAGTTTGGCAGCTTTCCTGCACAGAGCACTGCATAGACTGTTGGTCTGCTAAGAAATTTATAGTATGCACCACCACTTCAGAAGTTGGGCTTGGAGCCGTGCTGAGTCAGGAGCATGTCAAAAGAAACACCCAGTTTTATGTAAGTCATAAACTGTTTCCTCAGGTAGAACATTATATGATTAGAGAAAAAAGAACACCTAGCCATTAAGTGCGTAGTGAAGGTATTAAGGCACTTAATTATATTGGTCACAGACCATCATTCCATAGCTTGAATAAATCAAATCAAAGACAAACATGCCAGCCTCACCAGACTGTACATGCCACTACAGTCTTTCCAATTTTCAGCACACTAGCTGAATTAATTATTTTTATGCTGACTATTATCACTGAAGAAGGCCAGCAGAAAACATATTTAAGTATTTTTCATAAAATTCAGCTGTGTAAAAATGCTTACCAAACGAGTTAGATCACAACACAGACTAAATCATTAGGATTCTGTAATCATATCAGTATAACCAGCTGTAATTTTAAAGTTTGCTCCCTGAATTTGAGGAATATTGAGCTTACGCTGCCAGAACAATGCCTGGATGAACACAAATGGAATCACTTTTTGGTTAGGCAAAAAACCCAAAAAAGTCAAGTACATCCCATCTGTGAATCTACTGCAGAGTGCATGTAATCTGAGCAACCCTAATTACACGTCACCCCTTGAAAAATATTCTGTGCAGAACTGAGCCCTAAGGCAGATTCTCTCATCCCTCAAGCAGTCTTTTATAAGTCTTTCCATGGTTTATGAAATCACTGATATTCCTCCATCCCCTGGACAAGACTGTGGTATTTGATTTCATTTTTTCCTATCTGAAGCAAGAATTTTTTTTCCCCTAAACTACAGATGAAAGATTTCACCTCATTTTGTGTCACACTTTTTAAAAACATTTTTTTCTAAATGTTTCTCTTCTCTAAAGCTGTCTTGGCTTACTTGCCTAAATTTCAGTATGCTTTTTCACGTTCAAGTGTCCCATATTTTGAATAAAATGAACTCTTAAAATTTCAATTTGAGAGTCCTTGAAAATTTCTTAGAGGTCAGTAACTAAATTTGTGTTAAAGAATGGCAGGCAAGCAGGCTGCAGCCATCCTGCCTTAAAAAGGAAATATTTCAGTGACAAAGAGAACACAAGGCTATTTGACCACTTTGACCATTTGTTTCAGGCTCCTTTCATGTCACACTTTTTAATATGACAATTTCAGTTAAAAATTTGTACGTTTAAGGGAAAGACTGTATTTTTATCACGTTTCTTTACATATCTCTAGAAAATGGCTATCATGACACATCTAAGCTGCACTGGCAGTTATTCATGATATAAAAAACCATCCTTATATTATTCTTTCTTTTTTTCTTTGAATGTATTATTTCATTCTAAGTTAAAAAAAATAATGGCTATTACAAGATCCATCTAACCCAACAGCATGTTTCCAACACTACTCAAAATTCTGCCCTGCATCCAATGCACTGCGAGAACTTTGAAACTATTGTCCCTCAGTGTTTTAATATTAGTGTCTGTTCTCTAAATAATAAAAGGCTATTAAATCTCATCTTCCAAAGGCCTAAACTCACTTCTGAAAAAAAAAAAAAATCAGTGAGATTTACAGGCATTATTAAGCACCTCAAAGCCAAGTCTTTGTGAAATCTAAAAGGTAAGTGTGCCCTTTACACAGTACAATTTTTTCTTTTACCATCTGGAACCTATTCCAGGTAGGGGCTAATCATGAAGTATTCCCAAGCCTTTCAGAGGATTCTGTATGCAGTATTTTACACTCAGACTGTCAATCTCATACTGACACCAGCAGAGAAATATAACCAGTCTCAGAGACATCACTGCTATTATTTGTATGAGCAGCAGTTTGCCAACAATGAGTAATGGATCCTCAAATCTGGCTCAGAATATTAACCTCTTACTCATCTCATTCACATTGTCTCTCTGGCATACTTGAAATGTTGTATTTGTTTAAGAACAAAACAGAGCTTTCAACGACTGTGTCCCCCTAAGTCATATCCCTGAATCACCAGATGTGGCTTTATTAGTGCTTCCAAGGCTATCATGCTAACTAATGAAAATGCCACTGGCTTGTGTCAGAGAGAAATATTTGAGAATCTTTCACCCTCCGCTATTAAAATAGGAACATTTGTCTTACTTCATTAACTTTTGTTTTTTGGCAGAGTCTTTGAAGCTTCTGAATTCTTCTCCTTCTTTAATCTCAAAAAACTGGGGTTTTAGTAATGTTTGCTGATCCTCCTTGAACCTTTCCTGCCGCTTTACTTTTTCCTCTTGGCGCAGAAGCTTGCGCTGTTTCCTGACCTCTTCAACCCAACCTTTTTCATCATCTGAACTCTCAGAACTTTCTGCATCACTTGGTTTTCCTTCTGGTTCTTCCTCCTCTTCCTGCAGACAAAAATAGTATAAAATAAGAAATCATCAACTAATTTTCTTTCCGAACCATTCCTGCAATTAGACTAAGAGACAGATTTTACACAGATACAGTTGAAGAGATACACAATTTGAATGAAAGTGCCATCAAAAAATGCAACAATGAAAAATAATAAAATTATCTCCACCTACACATCGTATGTCCTTCAAACCTACACTGATGTAGGCATACATCTGAAAACTAGGATAATATTATAAGTTATATCTAAGTAATGCAGCTGATAAGAGAGACTTGCATTGCTTCCTTCTTTCAGGATGAAAAATCTGAAAATCTGAAACAAAGAAAACTGGCTTTTTCCCAGTCCAAAAAGAAAATGTTTTACCTGTTCTCTTGCTTCCTGCTCCTGTAAGAGCTTTAATTTCTTCTTTCTTTTCTCACTTATCTTAGAAACAAGTGGGTTAAGTAACCTAAATTCTTCACTCTGCTCATCTACCTGGAAATCAGGATTCTCAAACATGACCTTAAAACGATCATCTTTGAGAAGGCTAGGCAGATTCTGGAAGAGAAACGAAGCATCAGTTAGTTATAAAATTCCAAAACAGACACTGCCAAAGATATGTAACACCTTTTCAATTAAGCAAAGTTCAAAAACAGTACATGTCAGTTATTTTATCTTTCCAGGTCACATAAATTGAATTTTTTGTTATATCATTATATACTTTATTACTTTCACAAACATCAAATAAATATCATTCTAAGCTTCCTGTAGGCAAGACAGGCTTTTACTTTTTAGTGTGTAGCCTGCACACTACAGATACCCTGAAAACACAATTACTAGTATTTCTGAATTAATGTTTCTCATACATTCAGCCAGATAGACTGGAGACATGCTGGTATCTACTGACTAATCAGCAGTATCTCTGAGGCAAATATTCTGCCTGAATGAGAATGACTCTACAACACATAAAACAAATTATCAGGACAAACACTTCTTTAAGCAATGCTACTGCTGTTTTACTGTAAATACATAGAACTGTTTCTACACATCTTATGACAATTCCTTCACTGTCCTCACATATGGAAAGGAAAAAGCAATTTCATTCATGCTAAAGAAAAAAAAAATATGATCCCAGTAAAATGAGTTGAATTAAGAACAGTTCAAACTACAACTTCAGCTCATATGAATACTGGCTGTCATTGTTTCAAATCATTAAATACACACATTTTACAATAAAAGCTTATCTTTTAATGTCTCCAAACATATCCCATTCAACCCACACTAGCACTAGATTTTCATTTTTATCTCTCAAGTGGGGAAAAAGGATACAGAAAACAAGTGTAAATATCAAATATGGAAGCTGTTGCAAAAGTACGACCTGCAGTTTCATTTGGAAGCTAAAAATTCAATCAGTCCCACATCACAAATAATCAGGACATGCATCTTTATGTACTCTTTTTAATCTATGTAAAGATGCAATGTGTTCCTGGGCAAATCACTACCCCACATAAGGTACTCATTTCAACACAGGCTTAGAAAGCTGAAATTGAAGGTTTTACTATGACCTACATTTTCAGTTGTTCATACTTCCTACTATATCAACTGAATCACACAAGGTTTCATTACATGCCACATGAAGCTAATACCTGCCTTCTATGAATGCAGCACACCTGTGAGAATGAGCACCTATAAAATGCTACCTATGTAAAGAACCTGGACTCTGCTAATATAAAGAGGCTGAAAAGACAAACTTCTACTGTGCCATCTGCTCCCATTAGAAATTAAACATTAATTACTTTTTTCCTTTATGCTAATTCTAAGATAAAAATGGATTACTTCAACATCAGTAAAATTTTCTGTTGCATAAGAATGAGCCATCTTAGCTACTTTATATACAGTTGACTACATTTTATAAAGAAAGGCAATTATATTGAAATACAACTTCAGGCAGCCTCATGCTCCTCATTTATACCCATTACATCTATCTTGTCATGGTTACCACCAAAATACTGACAAATGAAAAAAATGCTTTTATTTATTTATTTATTTTAATTGAAAAACTTTGGTATTGATTTTGTATTTAACTAGCTTCTGGACCCCTACAAAGCTCATTATCATCTCCAACAGCAGGTACTTCAAAATTTGCAATATAGATGACAATGTTACTGACGGGCCTTTTTAGTTCTCTAGCTACAGAAGCCCATAGTCCAGTCACCTAGTAGAGAAAGTTATTTATGAGACAAGAAAGAACAGATTTTTGAATCTTTTGGGCCAGAAAACAGCAAGTCAGTAACTGTAGGCATTACCATTTCTGCATTCCAGGTTAGAGAAGCATCTAAAACAGACGCTCACCTTCTGTTTCCTTTTTTTAGTAGCCTGTTGTTCCTCTCCTTCTTCTTCAATCAGTTTGAGGGCGAGCTCTTTATTGACCTTGGGAAGTTTCTAAAGAATATACATGGAACGTTGGTATAAATAGAATACTGATATAAAAAACAGTATTGTGTTTATATATCTCCTTTGAGAGTATCACATTTTAATGAAATAAGACGTTTAGGTTAAAGACAAGCAGAAACAAGTTTTATCACCAGTTATCTGCTCAAGCAGCAGAGTCACTCATCTGTGGGATTCATATGCATAAGAATTTTATGGCTCCAATCAAAAAGTTTGATAAATTAAAGCTAAGTTTACCTTTTGTCTCCGATGATAAACAGAATCAAGTCCTAAGTAATTACACCTCTATGATACACTTAGGAATACATCACTCTATGAATATTTTTTCAGAAGCATATTCATTTACCTTCAGCTGGACTCTCTGTGCACGTGTTTCTTCTATTTTCTGTCTTATTTTTTCTCTTCTGTATTCTTCGTAAGCAAAGGGGTTGGCCATCATTTTTGCCTTTGATTAAGCAGAAAAAAGTAAAAAGAACATAATTAATACAGGATACAGTCCTCTATTTGTGGGGGGAAACATATTTTATTATCAATAGTGAAAGTTTACAAGCATCATCCTCTTTTACCTTATGGTAAAGCCTTATGTCCATGAAAAAGCCGTGCATATACGCTCTGAGCAATGATGATCCAATGAGATGAGCAAGGCCTGGGAAAAAATTACAGAGGATTTCGAAGAGCTGTCATGGATAAAGGACTCCTATTCCAAGCTAGCCACTTCACTTACTCAGTTTAAGACAAACAAGCACTGCTGACGCAATACATGAATCTCTAACAGTCACACCCAGTACATCAAGACTATATTAAACAACAACAAAAAAAAATCAGCAAGAAATCTAAGCTACTTCAGAGCAACAAATTCAATTTTTCTTACATGTTACACTTTTTAAAGATGCCTACAAGCACTGCAAACCATAGGCACTTTACAAAGAAAAAATGAGAGAGATTTTTTAACGGAAAGTCTATACATGTTTGACGATCACTTTTTTTTTTACTGTGGCATAGAGACGTTTTGATTCAGAGAATTTTGCCTTAGGTCACTATCTTTGAAGAATCAACATGGTGAAAGAAATACATTACCATCATAAAACTATCACCCTAGGCCGTAACCTAAGAGTAAGAACCAAAATACTTCAAGAGTTTTCAAATTTGCCTTTCACATATCTTTTTAGAAATTCAAAACTGAGAAAAAAGGAAATCTTTTATAACAAACCAAAGACCAAAAAGTCATTAGTCTGCTATATTAATAACCAAGATGACTGGAAGAAACTACTGCCAATGAATTTTGAATGCTTCCCCAACATTTCTCACTGATAAGTCACATATGAACTACAAAACTTACAAATGTGTAAATAATAAACAAATAAACAAACAAAGCAAACAAAAAAACCCGAGCAAAGATGTCAACTAACAAGGAGACTCAAATGTTTTACCTAAATTTTCAAGGTCTTTTCTGGTTACAAATTTGTAGTCATCATAAACTGTGCTCTCTGGGTTCTCTTCCAGTTCTTCAGTCAAGTTGTCCAAGAAAGAACACCATTTAGGAGCAGGTCCCAAAACCTGTGGATATTATAGTTACAAAATTGCATATTCTTACAGAAAAAAAAAGCCTACAGGCCTACAGTTACATTTCAGCTACTTTGCTGTAATGGAAGAATAAATGAATCCCTATTAAGTCAAATAAACCTTAAGAACAACAGCAGTTAAACCTACTGCATGCATTATCAATAAGGAGTACAACTGATCATGTAAGTGTTATTTTAACATAGGTAATTTATTTGAGGTCAACAATATAAAGACTTCAAGTGTTTCAAGTGATCCTAGCCTGACCAAGTAATTTATTAAAAGCTCAGAGCTAAATGTTATAAATACAATTAAGAAGTTAACTAAGGGCAGTAGGTGTCAGCTAATCTGTAAAGCACAGCTGGATCGTAGACTCATTACTTCACTACATAATCATGTTAAATCCTATTCTGCCCTATTTACTTTAATTAAAACAGAACACCACAGGTATATTTAATGTACTTTTATTCAAGGAAAATTCAGACTGTGTGAAAAATAATGGGAAATACTGAAAAACAAAACTTGCATATTTCCACATTGAGGTAGAGGAATTATTTGAACAATATTATGTGGCACCATCACCTTACTTTTCCATATATGCTTCCTCCAACTTCCCAAGTTAATCATTATCTCCCATCACTTTTCCCTCCTGCTGTTCTGATTGAAATTCCACTCTATCTTGATACACACAGGCATATTCAGCTGTTCCAATATTATTATTTTAGTAGGTGAGCTAGCTGAATGGAAAAATCCAACACTACATTTTTCTCTCCAGAGCAAATCAGACGGCATTTTAGAACATAAAGAAATCAATTACCTCCTAGAGAGGGACTCTGAATGAGACTTCCATTTTGTTTACTAAAAAATCACATGAAAAACTACACACGCGAAAAACTATACACCTACACACATATACAATATGAATAGTTTCCTTAACAAGAGAGGGCAATCAGTAGACATGTACTACATGTACTACAAGTACTGTAGTAGTCTTCTACTAGAAATAGACTACTACAAGTCTATGTAGATCTTCGAAGAAAACCACAGACAAAAAAATGTAAGCTTGTATTCTAGACCATAACAATCTACTAATATTCTAGACTAAAACTCTGGACAATAATACTCTGCAATACCATTGTCTTTGTATCTAGCATGATTTCTCTTTAGCTGAGAACTGTAACAGCCAATTTTTTTTTTTATTTTTTTAAACAGTGCTGTATATTTTAGTCCAATTAGTAAGAGCTTACAGGAAAAGCCCTAAGATGTCACTGACAAGAAAGTTTTCACTCCTTGAAGTATTAACCAAACTCCCACTTTTGATCTTGTAACAGTTTAAACATCATACAACTTTCAGATCAATTTTGTGTCAACACTGTAGATTTTCCATGCAGGTTTTCCATTCAGTTATTTCCTCTCAAATTCACTTCTAAATATAAATGCCATTTTTTTTTTTTTATATCAATTAGAAAGTAGTCTAGGAATATAAAATGTCCCACTATTTTTCACACCACTGAATAAATCAGTAGTTATTTCTTCATTACCAGATCATCAAAACATGACTAGAATAGGGATATCTCCTTTAAACTTCACCTAACTAAACATAACTTCTTCTGTAATCAAATCTAAGTTTCTGTGTTGATGATGTTTAGAAGTGCGAGTTGAGACTCCTTGACTCTCCAATTAAATAAAGAGTTTCCCTTCATTCCATCTTGCTGACACACTATGTAAAGATTGCTATCACTTCAATAAACTTTTTTCATCACTGCCATTTGCATGGCACTATCTGTTCAAGCATTACACATCACATATTAGTCATGAGAATTTAGACAACTGCAACCAATTAGGGTAATCCCCACATGTGATCTTGACTGGTGTAAATCTTTAGAAGAAGAATTAAAGCACAGAAATAATGGAAAAAAGTTTATCTGCTCTTCAGCTATAGCTCCACTCCGCATTGGAACAGCAGCAGTCAAAGCTGAACAACAAAGCATGCAGTACAGTATTTTGCAGGAGTATAAGTTTTGGGGGAAAATAGTAGATAAATAAAATAAAACCACAGCAGTGTAACTGTGTGCACACTATGGGAACCAGGTTACGGTAAGATAAGATTCAGGAATGCAACTTTTGCCCTGTACCAGGTCACTGGTTTCCATCCATACAGCAGCACACGTGGAAAAGCTGGGCTCCACAGCCTCATCTTTCCAGTTTCATGAACTATCAGATAGGTTTCTCTGTGAGTATCAGAGAAGTGGCATACAGCTAATGGGAAAATCCTTAGTAAACGAGTGCACATCTAAACCTGGCTTTTGCTCAAATATTTCTTAGGCTAGGAAAACCAGACATCACCAACAGTGACCAAAACAATATTTTTGCTATGTTCGTTATTATTCCATTTTCAGCAGAATTACCACTTCTTGAAACAATTTCCACTGATTTCCAGTGAAAGTGAAAAAGACTGTCTTTGAAACTATTTTTGCCTATTAACAGAGCAGCCCAGGCTGCGGGCTGAGCCAGCTGGCAGCGACACAGGCAGACTGCTTCCTGCTTTCCCTCCTTCCTCCTGAAAAGATTCCAAACAAGATGTGATCAAGGCCTGGGAATCCTCTGTTGCTGGGCAAGGCCACAAGGCACCTCTTCTCCTGAGCAGGAGACACCGAGCAGGGCGCGCTGACCACACAGACTTCTCACTGCATCAACATGGATGCTACAGGTGACTTCCCTTTGATGTGTTATACAAAACCACATGAAGCAAAGATACAAGCTTTTAACTAATATTATTAGCACCAGGCCATCTAATGCCAGATTTTTATTTGTATACATTAGAGTGTCTTTTTTTTTTTCTCCTGTGTAAGCACAGAAAACAAAATATGACAACTAATGTAGCATACAACTCATCTGAGTTTACAAGCTGTTCCCGGGGCAAGGCCAAACTGCCCTAGAACAGGAAGATAAAAACAAGTTGACAAACATTTTGAAAATACTATAAAAAAGCTTCAGAGAACACAGTTCTATTTTACAAGACAATTCAATCATTTTGTACCACCATGTGCCTTGCATGGTGCAGCTCTGCGTAGCGCTGTGCTGTAATTAGGGCCATGCCTAATTCTCTATCTTCCCTGCAGTTAATGAACGTGAGGATACACTAGGTGCTACTCTTAGCCCACAATAGATGTTCCTTACCTTCAGTCTGGAGCACCTGACAGCACTTGCACACTTTAAAATGCCAAGTGACCATTTGACACCAAAAGAACGGGTCTAATCCTAACAATATTAAATGTGCAATTCACTCAAATTATAAGCAGCCCAAGATGCTCAGCAGCTTCTGCAGTCAGATGTCATGGTTGAGAGAGCTGGGGCTGTTCAGCCTGGAGAAGAGAAGGGTTCAGGGAGACCTGACAGTGGCCTTTCAGTTTCTGTAGGGAAGCTATGAGAAGGAAACAGATTCTTTATAAGGATCTGCTGTGATAGGACAAGGGGAAATGGTTTCAAACTAAAGCAGGGGAGATTTACACCGGATATAAGAAATAAATTTTTTACAGTAAGGAAGGTGAGGCACTGGCACAGGTTGCCCAGAGAGGTGGTGGGTGCCCCAGCGATGGAGACATCCAAGCTCGGGCTGGATGGGGCTCTGAGCACCTGATGGAGCTGTGAGTGTCCCTGTTCATTGCAGGGGAGTTGGACCAGATGGCCTTTAAGGGTCCCATCTAACTCAAATGATGCAATGATTTAAGGGATCAAATCCACAGAAGTGAACTCAGCAGTTGGACTTTCCTCAAGTAGTCAGAACAGGTTCCAAAATCTATTTTTTAAGACATTAAACAGTGAATCCCAGGAATAATTCATACAAGATAGTGATTAACTCTTTAGCTATCAGATACGAGATATCAGAAACGCATTAAGAGTCAAACATCAGACACTCCTCCCAACTTTTATTTACATATTTTAACAATTAAAAACATGCAAAAGTGTTTATAAGAAGCAGAGATCAGATTTTAAATAATTAAATTGAATTTGTCAAGTCTAAACTGCCTAAATTCCCTCTGGAAAACTAACTGTGTGCATGTGGGCATCATTCAACAGAACACTTAAGTGCTTCCAGAGTCTCTGCCTTAGCTCTACAGGACAGCACCATACAGCCTCACAGACACTAGCACTGTGATGCTGTACCATGCCATACCCATAGGAACACATAAAATTACAAAGTTATAAGTAAGTATGAAAATAAATCACTGTTCTTTTATGACATAATGTAAAAGTTTCAAAAATGTTCAAACTGTTCATCCATCCTTTAGGGATGTTGAAGTCAGACTGTATGACTTTCATGAGGCAGCAAAAATTTTCAACTGCAGTGACAGCACTCACTGCCATCCTATTTGAGTAATGTGAATTACAACAGAAATAGCAGATCTTTAAGGTCCTCGGCACATTTCTGGGCACAGCGTATTGCGCAGAATTACCAGTTAGATGATAATTTTAATAACTGGAGGGCAGGATACGGACTGGCTAATGAGAAACAGTTTTTGCTAATTTCTGCACAGAAAGGAGATTACAAGTGAAGCTATTGAATATTTTCACCAGTGAGTGCCACATGGAGCGGGAAAACGCCTGAGAAATGTACTAATGACAAACTCCCTGAAAACTACAAAGCTGCAAACTGAATGACATTTACAGCCAATCACTACCAGATGTAAAGAACAGAACAGGCAAAAAATGATACTATCTGACCTCAAATCAATAGAACAATCATAAAGCCATCGTATTAGGATAGGACAGGGATAATAATTCAGCAGAGACATCTTGTAAAGCTTCAGGTAATCATGCTCAGGATACACGAATGCAAAGTGTAACACAGACAGCGAAAAGCCATCAGGATGATTTGTGAAGCAGTAAGAATAAATACATGCAAAGCTATCACAGTAACACTGCCAACTTAGCTAAACATCAGAAAATGCGTGGAGATAATAGGAAGAAACAAACAACTGATTTTAAGATGAAAT